GGCAGTATGTTCTTGAGTGACATAGGGACTTCGAAATAGGAACACAGAGCAGGCTGGGCCGAGAACGCCACCTGGACAAACGCATGGTCAGTGTTGGGTATTAGATGATATTGATATGATAATCGCTATGATATTGATATGACACTTGCTATGATATTGATATGATACTGATATGATACTGATATGATATTGATATGATATGATATGATATTTGATATGATACTGATATGACACTGATATGACATTGATATGATATTGATATGAACTGATAAGAAACTGATATGATATTGATATGATACTGATATGGTATTGATATGATATTTGATATGATACTGATATGACACTGATATAATATTGATATGATATCACATGATATTGCTATGATATTGGTACATGATTACTGATAAGATACTGATATGATACTCATATGATATTGATATGATACTGATGATTATTGATATGATATTGATATGATATTGCTATGATACTGATATGATATTGTATGATACTGCTATGATATTGATATGATTACTGATATGGTATTGATATGATATTGATATGATATTGCTATGATACTGATATGACACTGTATGATATTGATATGATATCACCATGATATTGCTATGAATTATATGACTATAAGATACTGATATGATACTGATATGATATTCAGCAGTAGGGATGCATTGAAAGGGATGTTTGGGAGAAATCAGGACTATGACCGGAGGAATGTCTGGGGTTGCGAGTGTCAGAGATAGCCCCGTGCTGGGAAACGTGGTGGCTCCTGGGAGCGCTGTCTGGCTGTCTTTTGCTACATCTGTAAAAAATATTGAAAAATATAAATGTATACAAACCATTCCACAGGTGACCCGTGTGGGTTACCTTACTTTGGAAAGTTTCACTAATATTTTTTTTTTTTTTTTGAGACAGAGTCTCGCTTTGTTGCCCAGGCTAGAGTGAGGCTGCCGTGCCGTCAGCCTAGCTCACAGCAACCTCCAACTCCTGGGCTCAAGCGATCCTCCTGCCTCAGTCCTCCCAAGTAGCTGGGACTACAGGCATGCCCCACCATTGCCCGGCTAATTTTTTCTTTATATTTTAGTTGGCCAATTAATTTATTTCTTATTTATAGTAGAGACGGTCTCAGTCTTGCTTAGGCTTCGCGTCTCAAACTCCTGACCTTGAGCAGTCCTTCCACCTCGGCCTCCCAGAGTGCTGGGATGACAGGCATGAGCCACCGTGCTCGGCCTGGAAATAGTTTACTTTTATCTCATTTTATTTATAGCTGTACATTTATGGGGTACAGAGTATGGGGTACATTTATGGGATACATAGCATGGGGTACATTTATGGGGTAAATTTATGGGGTACATAGTATGGGGTACATTTATGGGGTACAGAGTATGGGGTATAGAGTAGGGGGTACATTTATGGGGTACAGAGTAGGGGGTACATTTATGGGTACAGAGCATGGGGTACATTTATGGGGTCCAGAGTATGGGGTACATTTATGGGGTACAGAGTATGGGGTACATTTATGGGGTGCAGAGTAGGGGGCATATTTATGGGGTACATTTATGGGGTGTAGAGTATGGGGTACATTTATGGGGTGTAGAGTATGGGGTACATTTATGGGGTAAGAGTAGGGGGCATATTTATGGGGTGCAGAGTAGGGGGCACATTTATGGGGTGCAGAGCATGGGGTACATTTATGGGGTACAGAGTATGGGGTACATTTATGGGGTACAGTTATGGGGCACAGTTATAGGGTACAGATTGATATATACAACACCGACACGCGTGTACAAGGCGTGACGGCTGAATCCGAGTGACGAGACCCTGCCACGGGCCCGGCCCGCCGTGCAGAGCCGCCGCCGACGTGGAGGACAGACACGCTCGCCCACGGTGCTGGTGCCCGGCGGGGCACACCGGGGTGGCGGGCGGGGGGCATTTCTGGCGTTTTGCTTGTGTTCGCGCCCGGCCGTGTGAACAGAGAGGGTGGCCAGCTGCGGCCGGGCGGGCTTGCCGTGTCCTGGCTCGTCCGCGGAGCCGGCTCCCCGCACCCTCACGCGCCCCTCTCTCCCCAGATTGCCACCCCACGCGGGAGCACCGCTGCGGGGACGGGCGCTGCATCGCCGCGGCGTGGGTCTGCGACGGCGACCAGGACTGCGGGGACAAGTCCGACGAGGCCAACTGCGTGTGAGAGCACGGGGGTCTCCTCGCTTGTCAGGCGGGGTCAGGCCCGACCGCGTGGATCCCGCCTAGGCGGGCGGGGGTGGCTCACGCTTGATCATCCCGGCACTCTTGGGAGGCCGAGTGGAGGATCGGCCTCAGGTCAGGAGTTCGAAACCAGCCTGGGCCAGGGAGCGGCAGACCCCGTCTCTTACTAATAAACAGAAAGAAATTAATCAGCCAGAATAATAAAATATATATATATATATATATATATATATAATATTATGATACTACTATATATATAAATGATCCGTGGCATGTAGTGCATGCCTGTGAGTCCCAGCTAGCGTTTGGGGGGGCTGGAGCAGAGCGAGTCGCTTGAGGCCCAGAGTTGGAGTTGCTGTGAAGCTACGGCTGGACGCCACGGCATACTCTAGGCCTGGGCAACAGGGTGAGACTCTGGTCTCAAAAAAAAGACTCACTGTCTAAACGCATCCTTGACCAGGGGCGCGTGGTCCACGTGTCATCCTGCACTCTGGGAGGCCAAGGTGGCAATGAGTTGCTAAGTCAGGAGTTCCAAAACCAGCCTGGAGCCAGGAGCGAGACCCCGGTCTCTTTACTATAAAAATAGAAGTTAATTGGCCAACTGAATTTATAATATATGTGTGTGTGTGTGGTGTGGTGTATAAATGTATCCAGGGGGCATTGGTGGGCGCATGCCTGTAGTCCCAGGCATTCGGGGAGCTGGACCAGGAGGATCGCTTGAGCCCAGGAGTTGGAGGTTGCTGTGGGGAGCGGAGGGGCTGACGCCACGGGCACTCACTCTAGCCTGGCAACAACAGTGAGGGGACTCTGCTCTAAAAAAAGACTTATATATAGTAAGTATATATAATAGTATATAATATATTACACATACACACATTAACAGCACCCTTATACTTTGGTTCTAGCCTAATTGAGTGGCGTGATGACAATATCAGTGCTGTGTGTCCACCTGCCAGGCCTCGATCCCCCAGACCCCAAGCTTAATTTGGCCGATGTGGCCACGTGGGTGTCTGTTTTCTCTCTCATGGCTCCTTGGGTCACCTTGATGCTTCCGTAACTTCATCAAAAGTGACGCTCTTTCCTGAGGCCGGGGGTTTTCTTCTGGAAACAATATATAAGTAGCTGAGTTCCCTGGTAGGAGCCTCCAGGTATGTTCTCAGGGACCCTCTGTGGGCATGGGGAACATGGAGAGGACTTGCAGAGAGAAGAGAGCCTTTATTTAATGCTCACAGAGCTACAAAGGAAGTGTGTGATAATTAAGCATAATTTTATAGCCGATTGTGTTTCTGGGGTGAATGGAAATGTTCAGCTAGTTTTTACGTTACCAAATTAATAACAACTATGGCTATTCACCCTTTTTTCTCCCTAGAAAATATAGCATTCCTACCGTGTTTCCCCAAAAATAAGGCCTTCCCATAAAGTAAGCCCCAGCAGGATGTCTAAGCATGTGGGCAATAGAAGCCCCACCCCGAAAATAAACCCTAGTGATGGGCGTGGCTATGAAAATCAGCCCTAGTGGTGGGCGTGGCTATGAAAATCAGCCCTAGTGAGGGGCGTGGCTATGAAAATCAGCCCTAGTGAGGGGCGTGGCTGCGCAGCGCATCTGCACAACCCATGCGTGTCGTCAGAGCGGGAAAGAACATGAGCAGCCCTTCTCATCCGCCCCCTGAGAGCTCTAGTGCTCCACAGGAGAGATTGGGGCCAGTGGTTCTAAAGGAAACAGAGTCGCAAGACATTCAGGATGGGATTCCGGGTTTGGAGAGTTGAGGATGATGTTCCAGAAGAAGACGACTTCACTCTGTTTGAACCAACCATGTAGATGGTTGAACCATCCTTAAAAAAACAAAACAAAACAAAACAAAAAAACACATCCCCTGAAAATGAGCCCAAGGGTGTCTTCTTGAGGAAAAATAAATATAAGACCCTGTCTTATTTTCGGGGAAACACGGTAGTAGGGAATAATAAAAATGATTGAACAGAAGCAGTAAGGTTTTCAAAGAGAGTCCAGATTGAGCTGAAAGCGTTATGGGGATATATTTTATGCACATTGGAACGAATTAAACTTTTTATTTCATCTTTTGCCCTCTAGTAGTAAAGAAAAATTATGAGATTGACTATTTGATTGGCTTATCATTTGAGGCCAGCAGAAATATGTGGATTACATAGTGGCTCTTTGACGTAAGAAAAGTCATCTGAAAAGTCGAACAAATACAATGAACGACTAGCTCTCCAATTCTCTGAATTTGAAATGAAATGTCACCTGAGTCCTTGCTCAGTGGACACAGTGGAAGAGTGGACTGCATCTTCGTGGATCTTGCGCTGAGCACACTGAAGCATAACCTTTCTGGTGTGGGGCCTTGATTCAAGAACAGGGGGTCGTAATATTGAGAGTCACTCAGGGAAGGCTGAGGTCACGTGATGCATGGGTTTCTAATGCCCTAAAAGGCAGTAGGCATAGAATTTAGAGAACCTATGGGAATTGGAAAGTTAGTGGACACACTAGACCATCCTTTTTAAATATCAGATGCTACAAACAAGTTTTGAAATAAAGTGTTTATTGTGTATTGGGTGCTATGTGAGTTCTTTGCCATATATATATATATATTTTTTTTTTTTTTTGGCTCATTAGGTCAGATAGATATAGAATGAAATATTTGGGCTTGGAGTCAGAAAAGCTTGCCTTCATGTTCTGGCCATACGTCTTAACAGCCATGTGATATTGAGACAGGCCATAAACTCTCTAAACTTCAGTATCCTCGACTTTACAATAAACACAATAATATCTACTTTGCAAGATTTTTATGAGGATTCGAGGTTATAAGCACAGTGCACCTAGCACAGTTCTTACCATATACCAATAAACACTTTATGAATCATAGATTTTATCAGTAGACTACTATTCTCGTTAATAACAATCATGCAGGCCGGGTGCAGGTGGCTCACGCCTGTAATCCCAGGACTCTGGGAGGCCGAGGCAGGAGGATGGCTCAAGGTCAGCAGTTCGAGACCAGCCTGAGCAAGAGCAAGACCCCATTTCTACTAAAAAAAATAGAAAGAAATTAAAATTGGCCAACTAAAAATATATATAAAAAAAAAATTAGCTGGGCATTGGTGGCGCATGCCTGTAGTCCCAGCTACTGGGGAGGCTGAGGCAGGAGGATCGCTTGAGCCCAGGAGTTTGAGGTTGCTGTGAGCTAGGCTGATGCCAGGGCACTCACTCTAGCCTGGGCGACAGAGTGAGACTCCGTCTCAAATAAATAAATAAATAAAATGGTATAGTGTGAGTTAAAAAAAAAAATAAAAGTAAAAATAAAAAATAAATAAAATGGTGTATTGTGAGGTTAAAAAAAACCAAAACGAAAATGAAAAAAAATAAAAAAAAAAACAATCATGCAGTTCTCGAAAAAATGAATTTTTAGTCAATGCTATTTAATGAGGCAAGGAAAGTTCTAGAAAGAAAACTCTCCTTTTCCAAAATGTTTAGAATCAAAAAAAAAAGGAAAGAATAACAACACACCCGAGTGTGTGTGTGAGTGTGTGTGAGTGTGTGTGTGAGTGTGAGAGTGTGTGTGAGTGTGTGTGTTTGAGTGTGTGTGAGTGTGAGAGTGTGTGAGTTTGTGTGTGAGTGTGTGTCAGTGTGTGTGTGAGTGTGTGTGAGTGTGAGAGTGTGTGTGAGTGTGAGTGTGTTTGAGTGTGTGTGAGTGTGTGTGCGTGAGTGTGTGAGTGTGTGTGTGTG